ACCTTTCTGTTTCTATATTGTGGAATACATTAAGGAGTATGGGTATTAGCTCTTCTTGGAAGTTCTGGTAGAATTCCGCATTGAAACCATCTGGTCCTGGGCTTTTTTTGATAGGGAGGTTTTTGATAACAGCTTCTAATTCTTCGCGACCAACAGGTCTGTTTAGATTGCTCACCTGGTCCTGGTGTAACTTTGGTATATGGTATTTATCTAAAAAAGTGTCCATTTCTTTTACATTTTCCAGTTTTGTGTTATATAGGCTTTTGTAATAAGATCTGATGATTCTCTGAATTTCCTCTGTGTCTGTGGTTATGTCCCCCTTTTCATTTCTGATCTTATTAATTTGCGTATTCTCTCTCTGCCATTTGATTTGTTTGGGTACGGGTTTATCAATCTTGTTGATTTTCTCCAGGAACCAGCTTTTTGTTTCATTGATTCTTTGGATTGTTTTCTGTGTTTCTATTTTGTTGATTTCAGCCCTCAATTTGATTATTTCCAATCTTCTACTCCTCCTAGGTGAGTCTGCTTCTTTTTTTTCTAGAGCTTTCAGGTGGGCTGTTAAGTCTTCAACATGTGTTTTCTCTGTTTTCTTTAAGTTGGCACTTAGTGCGATGAACTTTCCTCTTAGCACTGCTTTCATAGTGTCCCATATGTTCCAGTATGTTGTTTCTTTATTTTCATTGAATTCCAGGAAGACTTTAATTTCTTTCTTTATTTCTTCCTTAATCCAGGTATTGTTCAGTAATTGCCTGTTCCGTTTCCATGAATTTGTTGGCTATCTGGGGGTAGCATTGTTGTTGAATTCTAACTTTAATCCGTGGTGATCTGATAAGACGCAGGTGGTTACTAATATTTTTTTGTAACTGTGAAAGTTAGCTTTGTTACCGAGTATGTGGTCAATTTTCGAGAAGGTTCCATGAGCTGCAGAGAAGAAGGTATATTCTTTCCTCTTCGGGTGGAATAATATATAGATGTCTGTTAGTCCATTTGCTTCATTACCTCCATTAATTCTCTAATTTCTCTGTTAGGTTTCTGTTTGATTGACCTGTCCATTGGTGAGAGAGGAGTGTTGAAGTCTCCTACTATTAGTGTGTGTGGTTTGATGGCTGCCTTGAGTTTTAGTAATGTTTCTTTTACATACGTGGGCACTTTTGTATTAGGGGCATAGATATTCAGGATTGAGACTTCATCCTGATGAATTGTTCCTGTTATGAGTATAAAATGTCCCTCTCCATCTCTTCTGATTGATTTAAGTTTGAAGTCAACTTTGTTAGAAATTAGTATGGCCACACCTGCTTGTTTCTTAGGTCCATTTGCTTGATAAGCCTTATCCCAGCCCTTTACTCTGAGTAGGTGCCTGTCTTTGTGGTTAAGGTGTGTTTCTTGTAGACAGCAGAATGTTGGATCCTGTTTTCGTATCTAATCCCTTAGCCTGTGCCTTTTTATAGTTGAGTTGAGCCCATTGACATTAAGTGATATTAATGACCAGTGGTTTTTAACTCCGGTCACTTTTTTAGTAGGAGGGTTTGTGTGTTTCCCTTCTTTGAGTTGCGCTGGTGAAATGTCTCTAGATGACTGAGTTATTGTGGGCATTGTTGGACTCCTTGGTTAGTGATTTTCCTTCTATAATTTTCTGTAAGGCTGGATTTGTGGCTACGTATTGTTTAAATTTGTTTTTATCCTGGAAAATTTTGTTTTCTCCATTTATAGTGAATGAAAGCTTGGCTGGATATAGTAGTCTGGGCTTGCATCCATGATCTCTTAGTTTTTGCAGTACATCTATCCAGGACCTTCTGGCTTTCATGGTTTCCATAGAGAAGTCAGGTGTAAGTCTGATAAGTTTGCCTTTATAAGTAACTTGGCCTTTTTCCTTTGCGGCTCTTAATATTCTTACTTTATTCTGTATATTTTGTGTTTTGATTATTATATGGCGAGGGGATGTTTTTCTTTGATCCAGCCTATTTGGTGTTCTGTATGCTTCTTGAACCTTCATAGGTATCTCTTTCTTCAGGTTGGGAAAGTTTTCTTCTATAATTTTATTAAGTATATTTTCTGTACCGTTGAGCTGCACTTCTTCTCCTTCTTCTACTCCAATTATTCTTAGGTTTGGACTTTTTATTGTGTCCCAAATTTCCTGAATGTTTTGTGATGAGAATTTGTTGGTTTTGCTGTTTTCTTTGATCAGTGTGTTTATTTTTTCTATGGTATCTTCAGTGTCTGATATTCTCTCTTCTATCTCTTGTAATCTGTTGTTAGTACTTGTCTCTGTCATTCCTGTTCGTTTACCCAGATTTTCCATCTCCATTCTTCCCTCAGTTTGTGCTTTCTTCATTGCTTCCATTTCATTCTTCATGTCTTGAACCGCTTCCCTAACCTGTTTGATTGCTTTTTCTTGTTTCTCTTGGTTTTCTTGCATGTCTTTGAGCGATTTATTCATTTCCTCTACCATTTTGTTTGTAATCTCTAATTGTTTATGGCAGTTTTTCACCTCCTGTTTAAGGTCCTCTATTATTTTCATATAGTTCACTTTTGAGTCGATTTCTTCTATTTCTTCAGGAGTAGGGTGTACAATTCTTCTTATTTCGGGATCCCTGGTTTCTGGTGGTGTCATGTTGCCTTTCAGGTTGTTGGAGGAATTCTTGTATTGGCGCCTTCCCATCTCTTCCTTCAAATGGAGCCAGGAGAGGCCTGGTCTCTTGGTCCAGTCTTTGCTGTGATTGACTCTCTGGGTATATCTCTTCAGTGTAGAAGCAGGAACCGTTCCCGTCCTGATGGGATTCCTCAGCAACTAAACGGGGCCGCCAGTAGCCCCATGATCCCGGGCCAACAGGATGAATGGAGCAAGTGGGGGGGTGGTATCCAGGAGCGCACAGGAAGCCTGGCGCAGGAGCTGAAGGTGCCCGGCTCCCTTACAGGGGACCCTGAGGCCTGCCTGGTAGGCAGGCACTCACCGCTCTGGGTGGGTTGCCTTAGTTTAGGAGCTTAAGGCTGTAGTTGAGCACTGGTCCTAGCATACAGCAGGGCAGGGTTGGGGAGGGGTGTTGGGGGTGCTGGGTCGTGCGAAAGAAAGACAGCCCTGCAGAAGGAGCTGGGGGAGGGGGTTTGTGCTCTCTTCTGGGACAGTCCGCCCCTGATTAGCACACACTCACCCGTCCTGATGGGATTCCTCAGCAACTAAACAGGGCCGCGGGTAGCCCAATGATCCAGGGCCAACAGGATGAATGGAGCAAGGGGGGGGTATCCAGGAGCGCGCAGGAAGCCTGGTGCCGGAGCTGAAGGTGCCCGGCTCCCTTACAGGGTACCCTGAGGCCTGCCCGGTAGGCAGGCACTCACTGCTCTGGGTGGGTCGCCTTAGTTTAGGAGTTTAAGACTGTAGTTGAGCACTGGTCCTAGCATATAGCAGGGCAGGGTTCTGTAAGTTGACTTCTTGTTCCTTGCAAGATGTTGGACTCTCAGCTATTCCTCCAGCACCATGACTTCCTGCATGCAGCCATTCTTCCTGCCATAATGAAAATGGTCTGAACTTCTGGAACTGCAGGAAAGCCCCTAAATTATATTGTTTCCTTATAACAGTTGTAGTCATGGTATCTTCTCACAGAAATGGAAACCTAACTTAGACAACATCTCTGAAGTATCAAAGAACAAAAAAATTTGAATGAGTGGATTGATATCTAGTTCCCCAATATAATATAAGAAATGTGCATTTATTTCTGAGATACTCCTTCCCAGATAATTGTAACCACGATGAAAATATCAAACAACCCAAGATGAAACATACTAAACATCATGTCTGACAAAAATCTTTTTATAACCCTGAAGCATTCAAAAATATAGGGAACATTGAACTCATGCTGTACATGATGATCAGAGCTTTCACAGGATGGTTGTCTCCTTAAAATCAAGAGCAGGTTCTACCATAGCAACTCACAGAAAAAAGTGAAAAGACTATGCATAAACAAATAATGGACATGAATTGTGACGTCTCTAATGCCAAGTTAGACAGACATTTCCTGAGTCTTGAATGAACAGGTTACTTCCAGCTCTGCACTTCTCTTCCCTCGTGATTTGCATTAACAAGACACAGGGTTCCCCATGTCCATATCTGCTTTCCAGTTCTCTTCATGTCACCACTTAATGTTCTCTGTCTTGTTATTACTTCAGTGAACATAACCAACAAACATGGCTGCATGCTTTTGCTTTTTATGAAGTGTTATGAGTAGCTGAGTTTCCCATAACTGACCAAAGCCACAATCATATTTAGGAACATTGAACTGCCTACAAGCTGAGGAGAGTGACAGAGAAAGATAAAAAAAGTACATGGATAGACAGACATAAATCAAGAGGAATGAAAACTAGTGTCCAGGTAGGATGTTCCTAAGTGAGAAGGAGAAATCTGAGCCTAATAAGATGGATCCAAATCAGTCCCACGGATTTCCTTTCAGATAATCATGGGAAATCCCTTATATGAAATGTGTATGAGTTGCTTCCTTACAAGTTATTTCCTGAAAAGTTATAAGAATGAGACAATTCCACATACACCAAGAGAGAGAATTTTAAGTCATTCCTTAAACAAAATTTCTGATCACCAACAGTAACAATATCATTTAAATTCTCTACTGGAAGTTACAGAGATACATAAATCCATTGAGAACCTGGTATCCTCCTCTGCCTTCTCTGAATGAATGTGGACCTAGTTAATGTAAACACTTCCATGTTTTGCTTCTAGGGCATGTACTGTATGACTCATAATATTCCTTGTTTCTCTGGAATTGGAAATCCAGACAGCATCACAGCAATATTCCTGATGTTGAATATTGAGTACCACTAAGACACACAAACCAAATCTCAGTTTCCTGGAGGAGAAATTGGAAACATTGCCTGTGCTTCGTTTTATGGACTCTGGGACCTCCTCAAATGCAAAGCAGTCCTCAAGCTCAGGATGAAATCCAAGGCCAAGATGAGAAGCCCCAGCTCCTTCTGACTAGAGCCTCCAACACAGCATGGCTGTCCTGGTGCTGCTCCTCTGCCTGGTGATACTTCCAAGCTGTAAGTACTTCAGGGTTTCAGGAAACGTAGCCAGGTTTTTTTTTATCTATGGGTTATATGACTGATGGTGATGTTGCTTGTCCCTAGGTACCCTGTCCCAGATACAGCTGAAGGAGGTGGGACCTGGTCTAGTGGAGCCATCACAGAACCTGTCACTCACCTGCACTGTCGCTGGGTTCTCATTAACCAGCTATAGTGTACACTGGGTCCGCCAACCTCCAGGAAAGTGTCTGGATTGGATGGGAGGAATATGTGAAGGCGTAAGTCACAAACAATGCCACACCAATTCGGGGTTATGATTATTAGGGTGGTATTTATTTAAAGGGGAAAAAATTACAGATCACTGTCCCAGGCAACAGCCCTCTATGCAACCAGGAAAGGAGTCTAGTCTCCTGCAGAGCAGGAAGTGAAGATAGCGAGGACTGGGAAGTGGCCGCATTTTTAAAGGGAGAGAAACCACGCCCCAATGGGCTAGTACCTCAGCGGTGATAGGCTGGAGGAGTGGGAGGACCTCCCGCAACACCTCCCCCATTTGTTTAAATAAGAGAGTTCTAAACCTTCTATGAAATTATATACAATAAGTACAAATATCCTATTCTAACTAGCTTAGGTCTTGTATAATAAATAACTTGGCCAAGTCATGAGAGAAAGTAACTACATTTATATAGTCTTCAACACCATCAAAGATCTGAGAAAGGAAATAATGTTACCTGGGTAATTAGGAAGTTCAGTAAAACAATTTCCAAAACATGCAACAAATCACAGAGACAACTGGCTACCTGGGCAATCACCCAAAATCACGTTAGCAGCGTTGAAGCAACCAACTTTGGCTAAGGCCAAACATAACTGACATACCATTTTCAAAGGCAAGCAACTTTTCAAAACTATCTTACCCTGTCTTGGCAGGATATGACAGTCCTGTTTTATCCATTGATGCACGCTCTGTATCTTTGTCAGTCATTGAGGTATGGGCATTTCTTTGCCCCAAGGCCAGTTCTGCCAAAAAGAAGGCTCCAGGTGGAGTGTCTTTGGTGCTCAACATTCTCTCGGGAGTAGAGTGGTGTTGCCAGGAGCAATTGTGTCTCACTACCACAAAACTCTGAGTTAGATTAAAGGCCATTTTCTACAGCTCTTTGAAGAAGTTGAAGATTATCTATCTATACTGAGTATAATCTCTATATATCTAAAGAACATGATTAGTCTATTATAAATGACAAACTTAGATGACTATTAGTCTATATAATTCTCAATATCTATCTAAATTAAAGACTAAGACAAAAAACGACTGTGAAACAAATGAGGACAATGACCTCCAAATATAAACAATGTACAAATATACATTGCAGTAGGTAAATATATATCAATACACAAATATTATATAAGTATCTTAATCAGAGGTAGAAATGTACACTGTAATATGGTAAATATATACTATATATATATATATATCAATACAATATATGTCAATACATAAAAAATGTTTTAAACAGAGGTAGAAACATGCATGCGTACAATAGTCAATATAATTTAACTTTGTATCAATATACAAGAATCTATACCAATATATTTGTCTAAAGACAGTAACTCACAATTACAAATCTATTATCCCATCATCCCTCTTTTTTTTTCAAAATGATCCCTGAGCTTATAAAATTCCTCCCCCAACCCTCAATCATATACTAATTATAATCAACCCCTAAATGATGTCCCTAAAGCCAAGGGCAAACTTTACTGGGAGAGGGGACGTCGTTCTCTAGAATTACTTCCAGCTGTCATAGGGGCAACGTTCTTTCTGGGGGATCCTGTGAAAGTAAAATGATGGTTAAATTTCAAGATAATGTCTTTTAAAATTGCAAATAGTCTCTGAGTATTTTCGTGCAGGTCTGCCCAAAATGTTGTATAAGATGTGCACCATTTCAGCTAACCAAGTTGGAACTGTCTTGTGCAGCTGGTACCCAAAGCAGGTCTTGTAGTAGCGCTATCAGTATCATGACGTCATATCAACCAGGTGGAGTTGTTGTTATGGGGCCCCATCTTCTTCCTGGAAACTTCAAATGTCACTTCAGGAAAAACTCATTGTTCATTGTAAAAAACTTAAACATTAATCATATAGACATATATAGACATATATATATATATATATATATATATATATATATATATATATATTCAATGAAAGACATTGTTGCGGGAGGTCCTCCCACTCCTCCAGCCTATCACCGCTGAGGTACCAGCCCACTGGGGCGTGGTTTCTCTCCCTTTAAAAAAGCGGCCACTTCCCTCTCCTCGCTCTCTTCACTTCCTGCTCCGCCTGCGACTAGACTCCTTTCCTGGTTGCGTAGAGGGCTGTTGCCTGGGACAGTGATCTGTAAGTTTTTTCCCCTTTAAATAAATACCACCCTAATAATCATAACCCCGAATTGGTGTGGCATTGTTTGTGACTTACGACTTCAAGACATGATAGATATATTCAATGAAAAGTATGATAGATATGAAGAAAAGCAAAGATGTTTTCTAAACTCATTTTTCTTTCTGTCCCTTATCATGGCTCTTGACATGAGACAGAAACTCCAGAAACTTTGGGTTTTTCTCTTACTAACAGGCTTGGAATTGGAGAGGGACTGAGCCAGAGTCCAACTTCAAAACCAGCTTTATAAATTTAGAAATATGGTTTAATATTACTTACACAACCCATTCAGTTGTCTTGATATTTCCTATTGGGCAGGTATTTTTCCATCTGTCAGTATCCAAACATCCAGGGTCCCTTGAATTTCTCAAAGATGAGTGTTTTCCTGTTGAGATAAGAACAGAACCCTGCCCCAATTCTATATGTTTTTCTTACAACCTGTATGAATATCATCGTTGTGGATGAGTTGTCATTTCTCCTTTCCAAGAGGTTTCTCCTCTTCAAATCGAAACTTTATTAATTTTGATGGTATCCACAATTTTTCTTCTCCTGTGGAAACAAGAGCAAAACCCCTTCCCCAACGTAGCACATCTCCTGGCTTCCACTGAGAGGTCAGCACATCTTTGAAATAAATCGGTTGATTTAGTTCAGCAGACTTTTCCATTATCCAATGTCTCTCTGCTGCTGTCGTTCCTTTCTCATTAGCATTAAGAAAATTCAAGGTTAATAAAGCATTATGTAATCTTTTTCTGGGGGTATTTTCAGTCCCTTTCTGTTTGTTTAGCATATCCTTTATAGTACGATTTGATCTTTCTATAACTGCCTGACTTGTAAGATTATTTGGTATACCTGTAATGTGTTTTATATTATAATAATCAAAAAAGTGTTTCATTTTCTTAGATACATATGCTGGACCATTATCTGTCTTTATTTGCGCAGGTATACCCATGATGGCCATAACTTCCAATAAATGTGTGATTACTGAATCAGCCTTTTCTGAGCTCAGGGCAGTAGCCCATTGAAAACCTAAATACGTGTCTATGGTGTGGTGTACATATTTTAATTTACCAAATTCCATAAAGTGGAACACATCCATCTTCCAGATTTCATTTCTCTTAGTACCCTTTGGGTTACTCCCTGCAGGCAACCGTGTCTGATTATAGAAAGAACAAGTAGGACATCTCTTTATAATGTCCTTAGCTTGTTGCCAAGTAATGGAAAATTCTTTCTTTAGGCCTTTACTATTGACATGATGCTTCTTATGAAATTCTGAGGCCTGCAACACACTTCCAATCAATAATTGATCAATCTCAGCATTGCCTTGGGCTAGAGGACCAGGCAGACCTGTATGGGACCGGATGTGTGTTATGTACATCGGACGAAGCCTGTTCCTGATTATGTCTTGTACCTGGATAAACAATGAAGTCAACTCTGTCATCTGGTATAAATTCAGCGGTTTCAATAAGCAAGATAACTCTTTCTGCATATTGTGAATCTGTAACTATATTAAGAGGTTCTTTAAAATCCCTTAGCACCATGAGAATGGCATATAATTCTGCCTTCTGGACAGAATTATAAGGGCTTTGTTCCACCTTACTCAATTCATCTGACTTGTAACCTGCTTTCCCTGATTTATTTGCATCAGAATAGAACGTATGGGCTCCAGTTATTGGAGCATCACGTGCAATTCTAGGAAGAATCCAAGAAGTTCTTTTTATGAGGTTAAGTCTACCACTTTTGGGATAGTTGCTATTAATTTCTCCCAAAAAAATTAGCACAAGCTCTTTGCCACGGTTCATTGTCTTCCAATAACTTTTTTATTTCTTCAATAGTAAAAGGCACTATAATTTCTGCTGGATCTATACCTGCTAGTTGACGAAGTCTCAGCTTACCTTTTATAATTAAGTCAGAGACTTTTTCCACATAAGTTTTTAATTTTTTACTTGGTTTATTAGGTATAAATATCCACTCTAAAATAATATCTTCCCTTTGCATTAGAATCCCTGTAGGAGAAATTCTGGAAGGCAATATGACTAGGATGCAGCTAAGATTTGGGTTCACCCTATCTACATGTGCCTCCTGTAATTTTTCCTCAATCATTGTCAGTCCCTTTTCTGCTTCAGCTGTCAGTTCTCTTGGACTATTCAAATCTTTATCACCATCTAAGGTTTTGTTTAAATGAACTATTAGATCAGGTGTTATCCCAACAGCTGGTCGTAGACTGGAAATGTCTCCTAACAATCTTTGGAAGTCATTAAGAGTCTTTAAGCGGTCTCTCCTAATTTGTGCCTTTTGCATTTTAATTTTCTCTAACCCTATTCTGTAACCTAGGTAATTAATAGAATTTCCTCTTTGAATCTTTTCAGGGGCAATTTGTAATCCCCACCTAGGCAAGACTTTCTTTACTTCTTCAAACATCCTTTCTAAAGTATCTTTATTTGAATCAGATAACAAGATGTCATCCATGTAATGATAAATGATGGACTTGGGGAATTGTTTACGAATTATTTCCAATGGCTTACTTACAAAATATTGGCACAGTGTAGGACTATTGAGCATACCCTGTGGGAGGACAGTCCATTGATATCTCCTATTAGGCTGAGAATTATTATAAGTAGGCACTGTGAAGGCAAATTTTTCTCTATCCTTTTCTTGTAATGGTATAGTGAAAAAACAATCTTTCAAATCAATAACTATAAGAGGCCATCCTTTTGGTAATAGAGAAGGCAAAGGAATTCCAGATTGTAGTGGGCCCATAGGTTGAATTACTTTGTTGACAGCTCTTAGATCTGTCACCATTCTCCATTTACCAGATTTCTTTTTTACAACAAATACAGGAGAATTCCAAGGGCTGGTTGATTCTTCAATATGGTGAGCATCTAGTTGCTCTTGCACCAGCTGTTCTAATGCCTGTAGTTTATCTTCAGCTAGAGGCCATTGTTTGGTCCATATTGGCTTCTCAGTTAGCCATTTTAAAGGTAGGGCTGTTGGTATTTGCTGTATGTTCTTGTACAGCCTGAATGGCTGGTGACCTTTTCCCATAATACCTCATCATATCCTTCCCAGAATTATGAGTTCCTGGAAATACAGAAATGTTAATCTGGGTATTCCATTGCTGTAGCAGGTCACAGCCCCATAAATTTATGGCAATATTGGCTATATATGGCCTTAGTCTTCCTATTTGCCCTTCGGGCCCTATGCATTCAACCCATCTTGTGCTTTGTTTTACACGAGATAGGGTTCCAATTCCCAGGAACTGAACATCTACCTCTTGAAGAGGCCAATTTGGATGCCAAGATTCCGGGGTAATGATACTTACATCCGCACCTGTGTCTAATAAGCCTTCAATAAAAGTGCCATTTATACAGACTCTTAGCTTTGGTCTTTGATCATTAATAGAAGTCTGCCAAAATATACGTTTACTCTGTCCTATTGGGTTTTTAGACTCATCCTCCGCACGTAATTCATCATTTAGACCAGTATTACTTTTTACAGCAGAAATTGGAGCTTTTAATTTTCTTAGTGAGGCACGTTCTCCACTGTGACTGGGAATGACTGGGCCACTGTTGGCTTGGGGGCCTGCGAGAGGCCCCCCAAGGAGTTTCCCGATGATATTGGATTGCCCGTCTGTCTGTTGTTGACCTACATTCGTTGGACCAATGTCGGCCTTTACCGCATCTCCTACATATACCTGAAGGCCGAGGTCTCCTATTTTGTCATTCCCAGAAGAGATATTATTCCTATAAATTCTTTGCCTTCAATCCCTTTTGCAAATGTCCTAATTTACCACAATTAAAACACCTGGCAGTTTGATGTCTCCTCATTGCTTTGGAAATCACTTCTCCTACCCAAGATTCATCATTATAGCTAAATGTCTCAACATTCATAGTATGCTGAATCCATTCATCCATAGGTGCTGATCTAGACTTTAAAGGCCCAATTATCTTTTTGCATTCTATGTTTGCATTCTCAAAAGCTAGAGATTCAAGAAGTATTCGTCTAGCTTCTGGGTCTGTTACCCCTATGTCCAGAGCCTTAATTAATCTTTGCAAAAAGTCAATAAAGGGTTCTCTCTGTCCCTGCCTAATTCTGGTATATGATTCAACCCGTTTTGCTGGATCTTGTATCCTATTCCAAGCATTTAAAGCTGCTTGGTGACATAGACACAGTACTTCATCGTCATAAAGAGCTTGGACCTGTGGATCAGCATATTGTCCTGCACCAAGAATTTGATCTTGGGAAACCTCAATACCTTTTGCTCTTCCTTGTTGTTCCATATGTTTGGATTCTTCTCTGAAATAAATTCCAAACATCAAGGAAGGTCCATTATCTAAAACTGCAGACACTAACTGATGGAAATCATGGGGGGTAGCTCTAGCATTAGAAGCCCAAGTCCTTATCATTTCCTTTACATATGCATTGTGCAAGCCAAAATTAACAACAGCTTGCTTAATTTCTTTCAGATCATTCATTGCTATTGGTGTCCATCTAGCTTCTCTGACTCCCTTTGAGCCTTTAGAAGTTGACGCTTTGTCAGAATTAAGTATAGGGTATGTCGCTAGAACCCTGGGTAAGCCAGTTCTAATAGCTGGTGCAGGCATTGTATCCTGTCCTTGTGCCTCCTTACTCTGTTCACCAGCTGCAATAATTTCCCCAATCTTTTCAAATCTTTTTATCATTGTCTCTCTTAAATCCTGAATCTCCTGACCTGTATATATTTCCAGTGATTTCACTAAGGTATCAATTTTTTGGTCCCCATTCTGCACCTGTGATTCCAAAGCTTTAATTTTTTCCTTCAAAGATAACATGTCCTCCTTAAACTTTTCTTGTATGTCATGTAGATTCCCATCTTGGAGGTACATTCTGTCTGTTACCTTATCAAAACTTTGTGATAAAGTCTAAAGGTCAAATTCAACAGCCTGAACCCTTTCAGGTAACTTTCTAATACCTTTGGATATGGAATCAATTTTGTCTGTCATAGTATCCACTTGTTCAGATAACCTCTGATTTTCAATAATTTTAATCCTGTCAATTAGTTGTTCATTATTAGTTCGTAAAGATTCTATCATTCTTAGGAGTGCCATATTCTTCTGTTCATTATTAGTACGTAAAGATTCAATCGTTCTTAGGAGTGCCATATTCTTCCTTAATGATAGAATATGGAAAAGAAAACTGAAGCCTAGTAACAAGCAAATTAAGGTATCCCCATAATCATATAAACCTTGTATGATGTAATTCATTGTATTAGTAAATATAAATTTACTAATCCATTGTATTAGTGAAAACAAAGCAGTAAAATTTGCGTTAGAAACGAAAACTGCCATATTACCTATTATCCAGCAGGTGGCACTGTTGCAGAGTCGCGGTGAAAACATGGTCCTGTTTCAGTGCCTTAGTAGATGTTAAAAAAGATCACTGTCCCAGGCAACAGCCCTCTACGCAACCAGGAAAGGAGTCTAGTCACCAGCGGAGCAGGAAGTGAAGAGAGCGAGGAGAGGGAAGTGGCCGCTTTTTTAAAGGGAGAGAGACCACGCCTCAATGGGCTGGTATCTCAGCGGTGATAGGCTGGAGGAGTGGGAGGACCTCCCGCAACAAATATGGGGTGGTGGAAGCACATATTATAATTCAACTCTCCAGTCCCGAATCAGCATCAGCAGGGAAACCTCCAAGAGCCAAGTTTTCTTAAAACTGAACAGTCTGCAAACTGAGGACACAGCCATGTATTATTGTGCCAGATACACAGTCAGAGAACTCCAGTATGAGCCTGCACAAAAACCTTGATATGGAGACACTCACGACCAGCAGGGGGCGATAGTGACCAACAGGGTCTCCCAAGACCAGTATGTGGTTGTTAATAAGATAAGAAGTTCTCGACTATGCTGCATGAGAATATGCTTCAATATTAGAATCTGTGTTTTCCTCTTCCAAATACAAAGAAGAAAAAAAAATTCTCTAGAGGCAACTCTTCACTGTCATAGTCTAATAAACTCTCTATTTGTTCAAATAATATAACAAATAGCTTTTCTCACAAGCCTTGTAAACTAACAATCTGCTTCTTTTTATTAAACAGAATAGCATATAACTTTATATATTTACATACACACACATATATACATACCTATTCATACATTTTCTTATCTATAAAGATATTTATAGGAGTTAGCAGTAATGACAGTTGTGATATGTTAGGTTCAGTTATAAGCTAGAAAACATTAAAAGAGCTGTAATTTGTCCTCTTTGTTTTTGCAACTGTGATAGAGAAACCACAGCTTCCCTAATTTAAAGTCATTTTTACACAACACCCTGGAAACTGAAATACTCATAGTTTTATTCTACACCAAGAAGGTCCCATAAAAACAAAGGATTGATTATTGCTTTTGACAGATCCCATTTCATGCATTTGCATCTTGGTAAAAATTAGCTTTTCCATCAGACTTATAAGCAGTGGTTCCTCAGGCTAACAAATAGTTATTGTTTGGTGTCTGTCTAACTTTAAACCTGACTTTCTCCATATTTGAAAACAGGATATGTTCTTATTAACTTTGGTCAACTTCCATAGAACTCATTATTTGGGATAATCATTCCCAACTAACTGATTAATCTTCTCAATCTACGCTGTCCAAACCATGATCAGACTTCCCTAATTTTACTTTTCCTAAGATGAGCTTCTTAAGTTGCCTAGGGTAAGTGGTTATCATGTCCTCTTGATGCCTGGCTATTACTGATGCAAGGCCCTCCATGTTAAGGCAGATTGGTTTCATATTTCAACTATTGAGAACTTAGCTGCAGCAAACATAAAAGAGAAAGTTGTCACTGCTTATCTGCCCATTTGGGAAGCAGCTCAGAGGTTCAGAGAACATACTTTTCTTTCAGGGAAACAGTTTCAATTTCTGGTACCCACAATCTTTAAGTTATACCTACCTGTAATTCTGGAGTACCCATGGTCTCTAATTTTTCCCATGCCCACTACACTTCTCTTGGAGAAACAAACACTCATAATTAAAATCAAAATATTTCGTTATCTCATCCACTGTTGAGAGTTAACCCAATGTGAGTGCTCCATAGTTTATATGAAGCTTTCATACATATAGAAAATTTCAAATAATATTCCTCATGTGGATAAATGAATATTGTTTTTGAAATACCACTACTGCTTATAAAAGGTTAGGACCTTTAACTCCTCACCTTTTTGTCTCATCCAAGAGATCAGTCTCATTTTTTTCTCTGATATAACTCATATCTCTCACTTGTCTGAATTTTGAGTCTAAGGATAGCACATAGCTCTGTTGCCCTCATGAACAGACATTTTCCTGCATGCCATTCTCTCCTTTGGTTCTTCTATCTTGACAATGCATGTGGGCAGAGTAGGCTGCATAGAACAAGCATCTTTGATCAACATAAATATGAAAATTACATCCAAAAGGATAATTTGCCTATATCCAAGAATTCAAGACCCATTAGCTAGAGTTAAGACAAAAATCACAATGCTATGGTGATGGAGAGAAATGGGACCTGTGCCTTGTAAAAGGGAACATGGTTCTGTTACTTTACAGTAAGGGAGTTTATATGAACCACACAAATTTTATATACAAGAATACATGGCCAACATTCTCACTTCTATGTGAGGATCCAAAGAAAATGACATTTTCAATTAAAATAGATTATTGCATTTCAATTATTATTTCCATATACCACTGTTATACTGTTTCTCACTGCTGAACTCTCTATACGTGAAGTCTGAAGTGTCAAATCTCACAGAGATGCCCACAATTAATTGTGATTGTAGCTATCACATACCTATAATTTTCACTTAATTGTTTTCAGTATGACAATTGTCCATAAATAAAAGTGGGCACAGAAGTTACATTGGTTATATTTCTGTAAATTAATTTATTGAATAATGTGGCCATGAATGTGGACATGTATTACTGTGACTGACACACAGTGAGGGAAACCCAGTGTGAGCCTGCAGAAAGTCCCTCTTCGGAGAAACTTGGAAACAGGATGGGATGCAAAGGACCAACAGGAGTTCCAAGACCATTAGAGGTCACGTCAGAAATATGGAAGTTGTAGACTATGCTGCTTTAATTTTAAAATGTGAGGTTTCTTCTTTCAGTCAAAAAGTCCAGTTGAGCTTTCTCTCAACTGTTGAAGCCTATCAAGCTTCCTATTTTTCCCAAACTAGAACCAAAGGATTACCCACAAATCAAATCATCTGAGCTATACATTTGCTTCTTCTTATCAGACAGATTGACACATAATTTTATATGTTACATGTATTTACGTATACATTTCCACTTAATTCCATTCAATACATTGTGTGTGTGTGTGTGTGTGTGTGTGTGTGTGTGTGTGTGTGTGTATTTTAAGAGGAGACTAGGTTAGGAAACTTGTTAAGTGTAAGTTCATTAAGTATGCTTAGGAATTTACAGTAATCTGTAATTTTTTGGATTTTTTTTGGAAAAACTATTTGTAGCCTGAATTAATGTTCCTTTCACAAGACATTGAAAAGTTAATATTCATTCTTTTCTTATTCTAAACTACAAGACTTTGAAGTGTTCACCTCATTATCATTTCTGACAATTCACCTTTTTATATATTTCCTTCTTGGTAAAATTTATGTTTCATATCAAAATACAAAGGAATGGTTCCTCTTCAGCTGTGTCCTGAACCTTGAGATCACAAAATTCTCAGCTCCAGTGTGCATGTTTCACCAGATGTCAGCTCCAGTCCTTGTCCCCTCTATCATCAGTTTTATCATAGACAGCTGCAGTGACACCAGCCGTGAGTGTTGAAGGTTTGGATAGATACAGAAGTGTCTAGATTTTTAGAATCTTGATATTATGACTTATAACAATGAATTGAGCAGAAATTCATTCACAAAGCAGAAAGTAGCATATTCAGTCTCATGTTACCCAGGGTCAGGCTGAGGATCAGAATTTATGACTGCTGGGGACTAGGTATGAGCAGGGAGAAAGTTTTAAACAATTTGGTTAGACCTAACATATACCAAAGCCAATAACTAGAGATTCTAATTCTAAGCATTTACATTATGATAAAATATCCATGACAAGATATTGAGATTCTAACACTATATCCCAAATCTCTCATAGTTTAATACCAAATGGTCTAGACAGTGAGGGAAAGCCAAAAAGAGTGAGCCTTAAAATAAAGGGGAAAGTTAGTTACCACTTTAACCTCTGAATATGAGTTTCTGAATGTGAAGGATATGATGTGTATGTGTGTTTGTGTGTGTAGGTGTGTGTGTGTATGTGTGTGTGTAGGTGTATGTTTGGATGACTGACATATGTGTGTCTGTGATTGGAATTGGGAAAGCTGTCACTGACTCCACATCCATCCTTTCATCAGAAGTAACTGAAATTATCCTAGTTTTCATTCTGTACCTGTCATGACCATCGTACCTAAGCAACCTGGGAAGAAAAAGATTTATGTCATCTTAAATCTTACAGTCCATCATGTAAGTATATCAGTACATGAAATCAGAACAGGAAACTGAGCATAGGAACTGAATTGAAAACCATAAAGAACCCGGTTTATTTGCCTGTACTCCCTGGTTGTTTAGCATGCTTGCTTATACAAACCAGGAACAACTTCCCATGGATGACGACATCCTGTCTATCTAGACCCTACTTCATCAATCATTACTCAAGAAAATGACTGCACAGTCATTCTTCCAGAACAACCTGATGGAGGAAAATTTTCCAAATTAAATCCCTTCTTCCCTAATGACTGTGCCTTGTATTATTTTCATGGAATTCTAACCATATTGCAAATGTACAAGCTGGCACTGCCATTATAAGATAACCCATTGCATATCCATGTGTTCACCAGACATAAGTAAACAAATAACTGATAAAAGACTTATGGATAAGAAACTACTTATCAAGTAGAATGTAATTATATGTAATAGGAGGATTACCATGAATTCTTATCCTTTATGAAATATTTGCTTATTTTCTTCCTTTAGGGATGCATTTTCTTCCAATGAGCAAGAAAATGCAGATTACAGGCACAAACTATCTCTGAAACAACCAAAGGCCAAGTTCTCCAATATAGTACAAGACATACACATTTACTTCGGTAAAACTCCTTCCCAAAATTTTGTTAACATAATGAAAATATAACCCAAGATGAAACATTCCATGAATAATGTCTGAAAATTATTCTACTGTTCAGAGCAAAGAACATGTGAAACACAGTACTCATAGTGGAAGTGAACATCAGAGCTTGCACAAGATTGTTGAATCCCTAATGTTAAAACCTGTCTCTACCACTGCCACTCTAGTACAAAGATTATGCACACAGAAATAAGGAATTTAAAATGTGAGATCTCCAATACCAAGTAATAGGCAGACATTTCTGAATGCTGATTGATCAGTGTGGGTCCAACTCTGCACTTTGTTTCCCCTATGGTTTGCATTAACAAGGCATGGATGGATGAAAGCTCCACAAACTCTTGTTCTCAATTGTGATCTGCAACTCAAGGTATGGGGTTCCCATATTCATATCTGTCTACTTGTCCACTTTTTGTAATGAATCACCTCCCCTTCCTTATGTTTTACTTTCAATAACATAACACTCAATACTAGTTGCATACTACAGTGCTTCATGAAGTTCTATTGACAACCAAATTTCCCATCCCTTATTAATGCAATAATTATATATAAAAACCTGGATTTTTATTTATTACTGGCTTAAAAGAGAGATAAAAGTACATAAAGAAATGTAGACTGGCATAAATGATGAGGTACTAAAACTCAATATTGTGTTCCCAAATGAGAAAGTAAATAGGATGAACCACATGATATAGGAACCAAATGAGTCTCTTGGGTTTCCTCTCAAATACACAGTTGAAATCACACATAATAATGTTAGTAAACTTCTTCTTCACAAGTTATCTTTTGGACAAGTGATAAGAATAAGAATAATTTCACTGACTCCAGAGAATAAATGTTAAGTCATTGATTAAAATAGAGTTTCTGATAACCTGTATCATCAGAGGTCCAATTGCATACTGAATCCAGTGCTGCAATTTATAAAGATATAAAAATGCATTTAGGATATGGTACTCTGTTCTGCCTGCACTGTGTAAATGTGGACTCACTTAGTATAAACACTCCCATGTTTTGCTTGTCAGTTCTGCACAGTGTGATTCATACTAATTCTTATTTATCTGGGTTTGGAAACACAGACAATAACAAGAAAATGTTCCTGAGTTCCCATGTTCAAATTCTCTAAGAAACATAAGAAAAATATCATTCACACGAGGGAAGTGGAAACCAAGTGCTGTGCTTTCTGTTATCT